AATAATGTCTCTTTTCTTTTTGCGCTCTTTCTTCTTTGAGGGAAAATGATTGAGTTCTCAAGATAAATAATGAATTAGGATATGTTTAAGAATTAGAAGACCCAAGACATGAAATGTTTAGTTCTGTGTAGAGTTAATTATCATATTGATTGCATGAAACGTAGGGTTGGGCCCGACATGGATCACAACCCGGCCCGACCCACAGCGGGCGGGGTCGGACCAGGCCCGCGATATACGCGGGTCACGGGTTAGGCTGGGTCCAGCTCCAAACCCGGGACGAGAGAAATCGATCCAGCCCACCCTGACCCAGCCCACCATCGACCCGGTTTGGCCCAACCAGACCCGGAAATTTAATTTTTGACATAAACAACTAAAACTAGTAAACTAACTGTTATGGGGTACAACTGTTTTTAAATATATAATCCGATGAGTCGCTCTATGAAGCACGAACACGCATAACATGAAGTCGTGTCGTGTCGTGTCCGTGTCGGACACACGTGTTGAACACACGTATCCTATGTATTTTTAGGATTTGGCTCGTGTCGGCGTGTCGGATGGCCGTGTCGGATCCGTGTCCGTCCTACATAGGAGTTGCTCTCTCCATCCAGCCAAACAAGCCGACACCCCAGTCGACACGAGAAGCGGTACTAATCGGTATGAGACATCCTGACCTCCTAGATGAGTCGACATCTCGACCGACGAGAGAGAGAGCCAGAGATCAGCTAGCAGTCCGACTTAGCCAACCAGATGAGTCGACATTTATCAATGTCGACACGAAAAACGGTACCGGTCGACCCTCTCGCAGCAGGCAACTCGCCAAAAGCGTAGTCCACCCAATCGAGTCGATACTCCTCCATGTCGACTCGAAAGACGGGCGACTGGACGAGTCATCACTCGACTCCATTCAGCCAGCGCTCCTCGAGTCGATTCTCCTTACGAGTCCCATCATGAGGGACATTGCTTCTCAGCGAAGCTAGAATATAGCTTCACCAAAGCTTATCCATCCTGACAACAAGTCATATCAAGTCTACTCAAAGACCATGCGTCATCACGTCGCTTATCAGCCCACGTCCCATCGATCGCTCCTCAAATTGAGGTCGAAGTGATCTTCCTTCTGTCGCCAACCGACATATGTAGAGCAAAGGATGACTCACCTTCCAGCTCATATTTTGTCACCACCATTTGCATGGTCGAAGTGACCAATCTGTCATTGACATCCTCTTTATATACAGATGCTATTCGTCATAACCAAAGGTTCGCAATCTAAACTCTCCTCCTGACCTAAATCTCAGAGATCATCATCTCTAATACACATAGCATAAGAACAAATAGTTCTATCACTCCACTCAAGCTCAAGTTCATCAACTGACTTGATCGTCGGAGGTACCACGGGGGAATCATCACTCCGCCCTCTCATGACATTCTTCTGTGCAGATTGTTTACTCTAACTCAGTGGCCAAGACATAAAGTCGGGAAAGGAAGCGGTCCCTTCATCCATCCATTATCATCACCTTGTCCCATTGCGGATGCATATCTGGCTGTATGATCTTAGTCATCAACAGTTTGACGGCCACCGTGAGCCCTCTTTATTTTTTGAGAGAACATGTCTGGTTCTGAAGATAGAGCTGAGCGATCTCGTCCTAAAGGATCTCATCAGAGCTATGCTACTCAAGCCCAGCTTGAATCAACAGCTCATATGATTCATCAATCTTGCCAAGAGTAATTTGCTACATTCACTAGTGAGCTTCTCAGCCGGCTTACATAGCCGCAACAAACAAATTTTGCGTCCCATCGGTCAACTCGCTGATGTCTCCTTCCTCATCAGGAACTCACCGGCGAAAGTCCTACCATTAGAGCCTCTGGATATAATCGAGTCAACAGACCGATCGCAAGTGTCTTCGGGAGTAACAACCCCCTTTCAGACTACCTTATAAATGTTCCATGTGAGAAGTTCAAGATGCCTCGCATGGAGACATACAAGGGTGAGGGAGACCCCTCCGAGCATGTTCAGAATTACTATGATGTGATGAGTATGCTCCAAGCATCAGAAACAATCCTCTGTCGATGCTTTCCTATCACTCTTTCAAGGAGTGCTAAGCTCTGGTGGAACACTCTCGAGAAGAGATCCATCAGAAACTTTCAACAACTTAGCCGAAAGTTCATCCACCATTTCTTAGCTGACGCCAAGCGGGAGATTTCCCCTCATCTGCTGATCCAAATGAGGCAAAGACCAGAAGAGAGCCTCCGGGCCTACTTCAAGAGATTCCAAGCTAAGAGGTTGGAAGTCGACGACCCAGGAAGTACGGTCGCCATGTCAGCACTCGTAGCCGGCCTGTAGAGCAATGCATTGGCGGACTCTTTGGCTAAGAAGTCAGTCGCCAAGACAAAGTTTTTTTTCCACTCGGTTAATTTATTTGCCCTCCGCACCTACATTTTCGTGCTTGCCAGGTGGCACCAACTGCACTCTTACGACTTCACTAAAACCTGTACTTAGGCTGTTTAACGAAGGCCTTGCTGTGGACTTCCGTATATGACTATAGGAAATCAGATTCTGTATCTATTGGTGCTGACCTGTTTTTTTTTTTTTTTTCTTTTTCAAACTTTACCAGGGACTATTTCTATGTCTTGATCATTTATTGGACCATAGGTGCATGATAGGGGTTTATCTAATATCGGTTGGTTACTTACCTCATTAGCATCTTTCAATCCTATTCACTTGTCTCCTAATTTTCCTTTTGAATCTTACTACAACAAACTCACCACCATACCCTGGCGTAGGACCATTGCATCTAGCTAGCTCCTGTCAGAAATCTTTTATCCGCTGTTCAGAGTTTTTCCTCAGTAAACATACAGTATAAACCCTCCCAAGTCCGATCTACTTGTTAAGTGTGTCAAGTGCAGCAATGTTTTTTTTCATTTAAAAATGATGCACAATCTTAGCATAAAAAAAAGGAAAAACGAGAAAAAAAAGACCACATTAATTCATTAACTATGTCATAGATGATGCTATTTCCATGGCAATAAGAATGTCCTCAGATGCTGCCCTAGAATGGTCAATTAATTTAAACATTAAATTTGTTAGCTTTTCTCTCATTTGAACCTAGGTAAAGAATAATTACTTCTTATTTTTACAGTCACCACCTTAACCAGATTATTGGGTATTGACGTTCTGAATGGTATTGGTACCTATATTTGTGGCTTTCCTCTTAGATCCCCAGCATTCCAAAATAGCTTGTCCGTTAATAATATCTTCCTTTTACTACTCTTTTCTTTGAGAGTTTATGTGTACACATTTGTTATGATATCATCTTGGTTCCTCATTTTTTTTCTCTAGTAGGCTAGAATTACTTGTGATGGGGGTGATCATAAGTGCACTGCAGCCTTTAACACAGACATGGTTTTTCCCGTATGCAAGGATTGATGGGATTATCCACGTTATTGTTTAAAAGGAGAAGAAAATTATGCATCAACTGTTCAGTTTGAATTGTGAAAAGTCAGCTATCTGGAAAAATGCATGGTTGTCTAAATCTCTGAAAATGTTCCTAGAAAAAACATAATATTTAGAAAGTTTTTTTAGCAAATTATTTTTTGGCGATATCCCTCTTAATGTGCTCTGAAGTCAGCTAGCATTTAGAAACCTATTTTCTTATCATGTCTGCTTTTCACTATTTCAGTCAGCAATTCTGTTTTTCCGTGATAGATCAAATGCATGGTTGTCTAAATCTCTGAAAATGTTCCTAGAAAAAACATAATATTTAGAAAGTTTTTTTAGCAAATTATTTTTTGCCGATATCCCTCTTAATGTGCTCTGAAGTCAGCTAGCATTTAGAAACCTATTTTCTTATCATGTCTGCTTTTCACTATTTCAGTCAGCAATTCTGTTTTTCCGTGATAGATCAAATTTCTTCTTTCTTTTGGTTGCAGGTGAGTGTCGAAATGGTGTACATTGTCCTGCAGAGTGTTATCTGTACGTTGATTTTGTTCCTGATGTTTGGATTTGGTTGGGAGGTAGGGAAGTTCTTTTGGTTCCTCTAATTCTCCTTTATGTGTTGTACCTCCACACTGTATGGTATCACGGTGGTTGCACTCACATCAGTTCATGGAGTTTGTTTGCAGGCTTCATGGTTCCCAGGCCGGTATGTACTTATGCGCGCGCGTGCTCTTTTTTTGTTGTGTTGTCTTGCTGTTTGTTGTTTCTTGGTGTTGGGTTTTTCTGTTTGGAGAGGGGGGCGGGGGGAAGCTCATTTAGACTGACCAGCTACGCAGGAAATATAGATAATGGCACGCCCACCCTCCGACTAGTCACATTGGAGCAAGTGGACCGTCAATCACTCTCTCTGCTTCGATAGGTTTATATTGGTAATGAGGTGATTTGGTCAACACCCAACCATGAGGTAACACTCAATATTCAATATAATATACAATAAACGGGGCTTGGTGTATCGCTGCAGCATAGTTAGCTGTTGTGGACCCATTACTTGGCACATATCTAGACAACCTCACCCTCTTATCATCAACATATTGTGTTGGGCACTGAACCTAAAATTAGGTCAGGACCAGTCCTGACGCCTGTTTTGAACTAAACGCAGTTTTGGTTTGGACCAAGGAGAGCGGTCCAAAACAAAACTTTAAAAGGCCATATTTTGGCCTTAGAAAATCTGGAGTCCAGAGTGGCCTAGTTTTACGCCAAACAGTTTTTTTCTGCTACGAAATTGGACCCAGGTTGAAACTTGGCCGGCCATTTTGCCGGAACGTTAGCTACTCGGACACGGTTGGTTTGACCACACGTACCGGCGTCGATACAGACCCGACACGATCGGGTACGAAATACGGGTCGGATTACGGTGCGTTGGCAACTTCGGATACGGCGGGGCTTTGCGGCTTGCCTCAGCAATTGCGAAGGAGGGCTGTTGATGGGGCTGAGTGTGCTCGCCGTCGACGGAAAGAGGGGGAGGAAATGGCTCCTCATGCGTCGATAAGGAGGAGGCAGAGGTGACTTCGACGAGTTCGAGCTTCGACGAGGAACAGAACGGAGGTTGAAGACGAGCTCGGAGGTTGAAGACGAAGCTCGGAGGTTGAAGACGAAGCTTCGATTGTTCTACAGAGGTTGAAGACGAGCTCGGAGGTTGAAGACGAGATCGAAGACGAGGATCCGAGAGGCTTCGACGAGGAACAGAACGGGTCGATGGAAATTTCGTGGCGGCGTCGGGTGAGTGAGAATTAGGGTTACATAGTTTACTTTAGTTTGGGTTTTAGGTTTTGGGTTTGGGTTTTGGGTTTGGGATTTTGGGTTTGGGCTTTGGGTTTGGGATTTTGGGTTTGGGATTTTGGGTTTGGGCTTTGGGTTTGTGTTTTTGGGTTTGGATTTTTGGGTTTGGGTTTGGGTTTTACAATAAATATTTGAAGCAAGTAAAATTGTATACGGGATAGAGGAATGTAATTTAATTAGTTGTACTTCATTAAATAAATTAAACTATTATTAAAAGTGTATCCCCGTACCCGTGTCGAAATTTAGGACGGTGTCCCCGTATCCAAAATTTTTAGAATTTTCATATCGGACACTCGGATCCGCACCCGTATCGGATACTCGTACCCGAGTCCAGGTAACGTAGGCTTTCTGAATAAGATCTGATCAATCTCATCTCTCCTGCAGCAAATTCCAATATGGTGGAGGTGGTATTACCGGGCAAATCCTTTGGCCTGGACAATTCAAGGTCTTGTTATATCTCAACCGCACGACAAGGATGACCTGGTCGAGAGTCCAGGCCAGTCAAGCATGCAAGTGAAAGAATTCTTGAAAGAGAAGCTGGGATTTGAGCATAGGTTACCAGGTCCAGCCGCTGCTGTTCACCCAGGACTTGTCCTCATCTTCATCTTTGTCTTTGCCTATTCGATCAAGTATCTCAACTTCCAAAAGAGATAGCTTGAAGCCTTTGCAGAACTCACATTGACCAGAGTATAACCGTTCATTTACTGAGTCATAATGCATCAGTTCTTGGGCTGAAACATGAGAAATCGATGAAGCCTGCAATTAAGTCAAGCTGATCAAGAACCATGGGTATTATTGCATTACATTTCCCACATATTTATCGTCTCTCCGCATCCCAGTTTATGTATAAGAAAAGAAATTTGGTTTTGGTTTCCGTCCTCTTTTTCGATTCCATTTTCATATAAATGTATAGGAAAATATTAGTCAAGTGTATGAATAGCTAAAGATGTACATATCCTTATATTTTGCATAGTCAGTTTCCTGGCACCTTTCTGTAACTTCAGGAGTGAGATTATTTGTGGATTGACCATCTAACATAATTGTTTGTCTTAACTGTCTAAATGATTAGGCTTGCTTGACATGACATCCCTCCTTTTAAATAAGGAGAGAGATATTTTTCTTCAGTTAATCACAATTTTTTATCAACAGAAAAATTCAAATAGCCCTTACACAGAGCAAGCTAGTCGCGCAGTTGACCCCTAAGATTGGAAATAAAAGTTTTCTAATTATTGTACTCTAGAAGCGGTGGAATCCTCGCAAGTGTTTGTTTGTCATAGAGTTTACCAAGTCAATATAATCTTAAGATAAACAGAATACTGGTTGCATTTAGAGGTTTATAGTTAGGGTCAGTAAATTCGTGATGGGATTCGTTCTCATATATCAGTGAGTATATGCCACAACATACTAAAGTGTAACCTTATATCATACGTGTGATGGGGAGACGTTGAACATTTATACACGGTTCTCTAAAAATGTCTGCAATTTTGGGAATAGTCTGAGTGCTCAAATTCAGAGCACAGTGGTGATGATCATGTCCAAAGTTAAGTAAGGGCCTGTTTGTTTCGCAAAAAAAGACTGAAAGTGGGGGAAAGTGGGGGAAAAGAAGGTGAATTTTGATGTTTTTCTCCACTTTCAAAGGTTTGGTTCGTCAAAGCTATAACCGAAAGTGGGGGAGAAAATGAGTTGTCACCATATTATTGGTTGAGGTGAGTAATTTTTGATGTTTTCCTCCACTTTCCTCGTTTAGGTTCTTTTCTTGTGTTTGGTTCATTCTTAAAAGTGGGGGAAAATAGATGAGATGAGTTGTTATTATATTATTGGATGATGTGACACATACTTAGGAAAATCAATTTCCTTGTTTTTTTGGAGGAAAGTGATGGAAGGAAATTTTAATGAGATGTGATGAGTTGTCACCATATTATTGGATGATGTGAGTAATTTTTAAAGATGATAGAAAATAAAAAAAAGTGGGGGAAAGTGAGTTAGATGAGTTGATTGATGTGACTCATTTCTTGTGTTTTGTTTATTTTTAAAAGTATGAAATGAGATGTGATGGGATGAGTTGTCACAATATTATTGGAGGAAAATGAAGAAAGTGAAGGAAAGTGGGTTTTGAAAAGTGGGGGAAAGTGAAAAAGTGAAGGAAAGTGGGTTTTGGATTCTGGGGGAAAGTGAAAAAATCTTACTTCAATTTGATGATATCTTTGTGTTGGCAATTTTGTTTTGTGTGGCTTTCCTCTCATTTGTCTTAGTTTATAAGATTAGATATGATTTGGCCTGGTCATCCTCTGCAAATATTTGTGCTGCCGTCCTGTTCTTATATATTGTTGTTGCTCTTCAGAATATGTAAATAATTGATGTTTTTATCTGCATTGGAGTTGTTTAGTTCATTATTATTTTTTGTTAAAAAAACAGGGTTTTGGATTATGTGGTTGTATTGGTCAATGGGCCGGCCTCTATCAACCCACTTTTCCTTTTTATTTCTAAATCAAGGGGGAAGGGGGAAAAAACAACCAGTTATTGAGGAGCCCTTGCTTGTACAATGAACGGGTCATTAACCATCATGAAAAATTTCCAACAGTTAAGAGTTTTGTCTTCTCGCTTTTGTTTTCTTCTTCATGTAGAAGACCGTAAACATTATAAGCAAAATATTAACGATTTCTCCAAACATTCGAATTGTTAGAATCCTATAGGGAGTTTTGTAAAAGAGTAGTATATCTAATGCTAGAAATATTGCAATTACATGATCGTTGACATGCATGCATGGTCACCTTCAACCCGTTCGATGAAATGTCACTTAGTTTAAAGACTGAAGCTTCATAAACCGCCTCAAGTTTACCATATATTTCTGACAAGCTTTTATGTAGTTAAAACTAGAGTTGGAATACAAAAATCAGTTTTCCCGCCTTGATGGTGCCGATTGTGACAACGTTTATAATACAGAAGCTGCTTCTGCTTGAAATCAGAATTATGTCTTGGACGTCATGGTCACATCTCTATTTGATTATTCAAACCCTCATAATCAGTCCAAAATGCCTCTTTTTGGTTCTTCTATATAACAATCTTTATGATCACCACGACAACTCATCACTTTCTAGCCTCCTGAATTGTATACCATGGCGGATGACCTTAGTAGATCGGAAAGCCACAAAAAAACTGAAGCTTTTGACTGGAGTTCTTCCGCTGATAGGAACGACGAGGAAGACCTGAAATGGGCAGCACTTGAGAAGCTTCCCACTTACGACAGTGAGGAAAGGAATTCTCATGAAGGAGGCAGGAGAGGGGAAGCTTGTAGGCAATGAGGTTGATATCCAAAAGCTTAGTGTCACTGAGAGGAAGATACTTACAGACCACATACTCAAAGTTGTCGAGGAGGATAATGAGCACTTCCTTCATCAGCTTAAAGCCAGAACTGACCGGTTTACTACTGCTGGCACTTTATTGGTTGAAAAAGTGTTGCATTTGTTGAATATTGTTTCATTGGTTTTGTTTTGCTTGGTAGGGTTGGGATTGAGCTCCCGAAGATTGAAGTGCGTTTTGAGGATTTATTAGTTGAGGCTGATACATACATTAATAACAGAGCAGTTCCTACTCTGTTAAATTCCATTCTGAACATCGTAGAGGTGGTTTTCATATTTCTAATGTTTATTCATCCGTTTTTTTTAATTTTATCTTTAAGCCATTCTGTACATTCTTTTGTTATCTATGTGTTTTTGGGGGTAAATTAGTGAAAATCCCCCTAACGTTTAAAAATAACAATTTACCCTCCTTTCTTTTAGTTTCAACAAAATTAACTTGGATATAGAAGCTAATATCATAGGATATGACAACTATGTGCAATGTCGTATTAATGTTTATATGGTTTTTATTGGCAATTGATGATCATTTAACTGGAAATTGAAAATAATGGGGGTGAAGTGTGACACTGTCACTTTTAAAATGGGGGATTTTTGTCAATTATGCAAACCTTAGCTAGGCTGGAAGGGATGTCAAAGTAGTTGAATGATTGGTTTTCAAGTTCTAAAGATGTATTTGAATACGAGGTTATATTTTTAATTTGATTTAATTGGAAATCCTAATTGTTAACAAAATAGCATGTTTGTTTTGCAGGGTGTGTTCAGTTATGTTTGGTTCTCCCCATCAAAGAAGAAGGTTCACAGGATACTCAGTGGCGTCAATGGAATCATCAAGCCATCAAGGTATGTACACGAAGTCCTTCGGAGAAACCTTCTTGTTCTTATCATGCCTGATTTTGATGAAATCGTACATCTTATCATGAATAAAGGAGCAGGAAGCAGAGGCTTATTGTATTACATGCTTGTTAACAAGGATAACTACCTAACTTAAAAAGCAAAACGAAAGCAATCTGCTGAATGTTTAGTAGTTGCCACAATCAGCTCATGATGTTGGCCTGAGAGTTAAGTTGAAATAATTCATGGGTGTCAATTGCTTTAACTACGTTATACCCGTATTTGCCCATATTGTAATCAATTCATGGGTGGAACTGAGATTTTGAATTTAAAACTATTTGGTCGGCTACCAATTTCTATGGTTAGTTATTTCTTTTCTATGTTAGCAATCACTTTCAAGGAGCAATTGGCAAAATATCACTATTAATCATTTTCTAAATTAGGTAACTTGGATCTAACACTTTTTTTTCAATATTCCTGGATATCCAATTGGAGCTAAATTCTCAGTGACTTACTTTTCCAAGTTTGTCAAGACATGCAGACACACGCACAAATACTTGCACACAACACGCGCGCACGCGCATGCTCACATACATATCTATGTGCCTGTGTGCGCATGTGCGTGTGCGGGGACGAGGGACATGGGGCGTGTGTGTACTATATATATACTATTTATTATCTTATAAAGAGATCATTGCGTCATGATTATATATATAACGTCAGCAATAGACTATATGATAATCTTTTACTTTACTTTAGGTGGTAAGTTTGTTAACTGTTTTTGGGTGTGTAGTCAACAGTTGATAATTTGTATTAGCAGAACTAAATGTGCTGATTCTTTTAACTAAGTTATCTTGTGCTTGCGCTCGTGCTCGTAGGATACTTCTGATAAAGAAGTGAGTCTATGCATGTGAATGTCCCTTATTTTTAAACATTAGGATATTATTTGTATCTCTTTGTTTTAATATTTAGATGCGATGATGTGTTGTTTACCCTTATTAGGATATGATACTTATTTATCTGTTCCTTGATTAGAGTGTTGCTTCTCTTTAAGTTAATAAAATGGTGAGTTTAATGTTCTCTCTTTTCTACTGTTTTCAGAAGAAACCATCATGTGGTTTGTACATTGATTTATGATCATTGGAACTTTGCTAATAGATTACTTATCAAGGAGAACAAATAAAAAATATTTGTTTTTGTTGAAAAATTTCAGAATGACGCTACTTCTAGGACCACCAGCTTCAGGAAAAACAACGCTTTTGTTATCTTTGGCTGGGAAGCTTGACAAACAACTAAGAGTTTGTGCCCTCTCTACCCTCCCTCTGTGAATTGATTTGACATGCATTATGTTTGCTTTCACGAATTCATTTGCATTAAAAAAAATCACTTCTATCAGCTTACAGTATGTCATCATTGCCTTGCAATCAGGTATCTGGAAAAATCACATATTGTGGTCATGAAATATCAGAGTTTTCTCCCCAGAGAACTTGTGCATATATTAGTCAACATGATCTTCACCATCCTGAGATGACAGTTCGAGAGACATTGGATTTCTCAGGACGGTGCTTGGGTGTGGGAATAAGATATGACTTGCTTTCTGAATTGTCAAGACGAGAAAAAGAGGCAGGCATTCAACCTGATCCACAGATAGATGCTTACATGAAGTCAACTGCAATGGAAGGACAAAAGACCAGTCTTGCAACCAACTACATTCTCCAAGTTTGTTTCTCAATTTTGAATATCTACTTTTTTTTCTTTTCTTAATTTCAGTTTCTTGGGTGCATTGCTCGCACTGATTATCAAACTTATTTGATCATAAACTTAGGTATGGGTTATTGTAATTTCACACGCCATGGGTAGTGGCATAGTGCTCATAATTTCTTACTTGCTCCGAGACAGGTACTTGGTTTAGATGTCTGTGCTGATATTATTATTGGTGATGAGATGATCCGTGGAATTTCAGGGGGTCAAAAGAAACGAGTCACAACTGGTATGTTTGTGCACATGCACCTCTTTTCTCTTGCTTTGTGTGAAAGTACAAATTATATCCATAAATTCATTTTTCCATAAATTAATCATTAATCAGTGTGTCTTTATCAACTTCTATGCAGCTGCTGATAGATGTTCATCAGCATATGCCCTTTTACTTATTGGACATATGCAAATGATATCTATTGGCAGCTGAATAGAAGTTATATATCGTTTTATACTTTACTGCTGATATTCTATAGTGATAAAGATAATTGGTAGTGGATGATAGGGAATCATATCATCCACTATTCTTATTTCTTCTCAGTACCTGTTTGCTCATTACTGTAAACAGGTCATATAAGAACACATCACGCTCTCAGGATTGGTCATATTAGTATGATAATGTGTCCACTATAAATGGAGTGGCTACTAGTTTTGGGACCAAATTATCCAAAAAGGAAATCCCCAGTGAATTTTTGGTTCTAAACTTATTTAACCACTTATCCATCTTTCTTATTAAACCGTCCTTGCCTTTTCATTTGCCTGTTTAACTATAAAACTGGATTGGGCCACTTAACTAACAAAGCCATTACCGTAAGAGGAGCGTGTGGTAGGTGTAAAGTGCTTGCTTACGATGGGAGTACCGGTTCAAGGTCGGATGCCACATGCCTGGAGGAATTTGTGCTCTGATCACTTGGTTTGGTAGGAGGGAAGGTGAGGGGAGGGATAAAAATTAGATTTGCCTTTGGTAGGGAGGGGATGGGAGGGGAGGGGGCACCTTAAAATGAACTGAACAGTTAGAGAGAGAAGAATGCCTTCAAAGTGGGAGAATTCAAGAGGAGAGAGAAAACAAATTATAAAGCATACATCTCTCCTCCACTCCCCTCCAACCAAACATAAAGGCTTAAAAGGATGTCCATCCCTCCACCTCATTGCACCTCACCTTCCCTCCTCAAACCCCCTATTGATCCAGTCTCTTGTTTTCCTGCCCAATTACACGGGTAAGTTTTTAGTTTGTCGTGCTTGTATTTTTGACAGTTACGTGGGCACCATATATTTCTCAAGATTATAACTTTTATCAAAATACTCCCATATAATAAGGAGATGGGTATTTACATCAATACTATCTTTACTTTTATCAAAATTGATATTTATCACCTTTATTTTTTTGGTCAATACCACATTTACTTGCTAACATCTTTGTAATGTCACACCTATTTGAGTTTTTCAGTTAAAAAAATATGAACTGACAAAAATACTCTCACCCAAACACGTGCAAAGCACATGGCTCCAATTAATTATAAAAAATAAAGATTTTTTTAAGAATTAGTCTCTAAATCTTTCATGTTCTGATATTAGACCCCGAAATCATCATATTTTGAAATTAGTCCCCAAATCGATGTCCTCTTCAACCGACCAGTGTCGTTCTCGCCAGAGAGGGTTATATAGAGGGTGATTTGTCGATCTTTTACTTCTTGGTTAGGGTTTCGGTCGGTTTTTTCTTGGATTGGAAGGGGGAGGGAGGGAGGATTGAGGGGAGGTGAGGTTAGGGTTTGAGGAAGGATTGAGGGGTTTGTTTCCTTGGATTGGAGGGAGGGAGGAGGATTGAGGGTAGATGAGATTAGGGTTTGGGGGAGGATTGAGGGGTTTGTTTTCTTGGATTGGAGGGAGGGAGGAGGATTGAGGGTAGATGAGATTAGGGTTTGGAAATTGGGCTAGGGTTTGGGGATTTGGGTTAGGAGATCCATGGTTGTTTGAGAGAGAGAGGGGGGAGGACTAATTTCAAAATATAAAAAATTTGGAGGACTAAAATTGAAAGAGAAACCCTTAGTTTTAGTAGTATATTTGCACGTGCATAAAATTGTTATTCACTTAGTCTCCTATCACACAAATTAGTAATTTGGCGATGATTTGAGTTATGCAATTTTATTTTAGAGATAGTAATTTAAAACAAGAAATAATGTTCTTAACACAATTTTGTCGGGGAGCTTTTTGAGATTAATGTAATAGGAGTAAGTCATTCAAAATTATAAAAATAGAAAAATGGAGAATATTACTATTTAATTATGTGACTTCAAAATTTCTTCTTATACCATAATTTAGAACGTTCTAGAAATAGAAAGGAAAAAGAAGAAAAGAGGAAGGAAAAAAAATCAAAGTGCAATTTCAATTATGTGAGTCAAATCCTAGCCTCATGTCATAATTTAGAATATTCTAGAAACAAGCAAAGAAAAGAAGAAAGGAGTATTTCCTCACTTTGGCACATGGAATTACAAATATACCCCGCAAACCTTTGTTGCGATGGGAAATGTCCTTCAAACATTTTGGTATCCCGACTAGAATTTTGATATGGTAGTATAGATAATTAATTAGGACAGACGTGCAAAGCACGTGCCTTACTTAGGGGGTAAAATGGTGAGTTCATTTGCTTTTTAGGCTAAAAACTCAAATAGGTGTGACCTTGCAAAGATGTTAACAAGCAAGGGTGTTACTAGCACAAAGAAAAAAATAATAAAAAACATTAAAGGTGGTAAACATCAATTTTGATAAAAGCAAAGGTGGTTTTCATGTAAAAACCCTAAGGAGATCGAAAGAGGGTTAGTTTGGAAATTTAGCTATTCTTTTTATTGGTGCAAACCTTCCAGTCCTAGCTCTTTAGAATATCCCTTCTAGAGTCATGTCATGTTTTCTTGACTAACTCAATTTCTACGTTTCTACTATCAAGTTAAATATTCCAGGTATCCACTTGTTGATTTCTACTTATAAGCTTAAAAACTTGCAACTCAGGAGAAATGTTGGCTGGACCTGCAAGGGCTGTATTCATGGATGAGATATCGACTGGACTAGATAGTTCCACTACCTTTCAGATTGTCAAGTTCTTGAGACAGATGGTTCATGTGATGGATGGAACAATTCTCATCTCTCTTCTGCAGCCTCCACCTGAGACTTTTGAACTTTTTGATGATATTATTTTGTTATCTGATGGTCAAATTGTCTACCACGGACCTCGGGAAACCATACTTGAGTTTTTTGAATTCGTGGGCTTTAAATGCCCCGAAAGGAAAGGAGTTGCTGATTTTCTCCAGGAGGCCACCTCAAAAAAGGATCAAGAACAGTATTGGTATAAAGAAAGCGAGCCCTACCGCTATATCTCTGTCCCTGAGTTTGCACAGATCTTCAAGTCATTCCTTGTTGGCCAACGGCTTTCTGAAGATCTAAAAGCCCCTTATGAAAAATCAAAAACTCATCCTGCTGCTTTGGCAACAGAGAATTATGGCATATCTAGCTGGGAGCTCTTCAAGGCATGTTTGTCAAGGGAGTGGTTGCTGATGAAGCGCAATTCATTTCTCTACATATTTAAGACAACCCAGATAACAATCATGTCATTAATAGGCATGAGCGTGTTCCTGAGAACTGAGATGCGCCATGAAACAATTGCTGACGGTGGAAAGTACTTCAATGCACTATTCTATGCTTTGTCCAATGTGATGTTCAATGGGGTGGCGGAATTGGCGATGACTATCTTTCGACTTCCTGTGTTCTACAAACAAAGAGATTCCTTGTTTTTCCCAGCTTGGGCTTTTGGACTATCATATTGGATCCTTAAGATCCCCCTTTCACTTATAGAATCTGGGATATGGGTCATTCTTACATATTACGCAATTGGTTTTGCACCTGCGGTTAGCCGGTGAGCCACTCAACTTTCGCCTGCTGTTTTTAGGATTTAGCAGTTTTCTGTTACATCTTTCAGACCATTTTGGGCAATTTTCATGTTTTGCAGACTTAAGTAATGTTATAGGCTATATAAGAATAAAACTTTTCATGCCTCGACTTTTTTTCTTAAAATTTCTCAGGTTCTTTTGTCAGTTATTGGCATTATTTGCAACTCATCAGGTAGCACTTTCTGTTTTTCGCTTCATTGCTGCAGCTGCGCGAACATTGATTCTAGCTAACACATTTGGGAACTCTGCTCTGCTGATTATCTACGTGCTAGGAGGATTCCTAATTTCTAGAGGTTGTCCAATCATTTGTAACAAAAAAGTCTATGTTTTGACCCTCATAATTTCTTTCTATTCAAAGATTATGAAGGTTTAGTAGCATCGCTTGCTGTGGTTTTCAAGCATACAACTTTTTCCTTCCTTGTATTCACATATTACTAGAACAATTCCTTTCTTATGTGAGCAGGGGACATTCAATCATGGTGGAAATGGGGATACTGGATTTCTCCAATGCAGTATGGACAGACTGCTATAGCAATCAATGAATTTCTTGATCCAAGATGGAACACTGTAAGTTTATTGAAATTTCACTTTTTATTGAAGTTCCTACGATCACACAATCTCTTTGCTAGCTTGTCACATGTTAAGATCATCCATTGACAGTTATGAGTTAACGTTCTGAGCTGACATGGTTATCATTTTATCCCTGTTACAGCCAAATAATGACACCAGCATTGATGCGTTTACAATTGGAAAGGCAGTTCTCAAGACTAGAGGCATATTTGTAAATGGCTATTGGTACTGGATTTCCATTGGAGCCCTCCTTGGGCTTTCTGTTGTATTCAATGCTTGCTTCATTCTCGCACTAACTTATTTGAACCGTAAGCACATTGTTTTTATGACTGCATGTTTTTCTTGTGTGTTGGCACATTTTCTGCATATCATATTGACTGTATCCTTCCTCTGTAGCTGTTACAAACTCTCAGACCGTGTTGATAAATAATGAAGCAGATCACGAAAATAAGTACTTGTTATCGGGTGCAGAAAAGATGTCTCAAATGCCAAAAGGGTGTACTAACCACTCTACACTTGACAATGCAGGTTTGCAGTTTTAGCTATATACGCCCTTTGTCAGTCCTACTGTTGTATTTAGAGCATTTTCATTTTCAATACTCACAACTGTTGTGCTTGTTAAAATAGAGGAAGAGAGAAATTTTGATTAGCCCTCTCCCCTTTAGTCTAATTTATAGTAAATAAATTATACACTTCACACCAAGTGTTACATTGTATTTAGACACTTGAACAGCTCCACTGTGTATTTATCTAGACACGTGACAACTTCATCATGTGATACAATGTAATTAGGCGCATGAGAACTCCACCATGTGATACACTGTATTTAGACACATAATAACGCCACCATGGGGTACATATCTCTACACTCTCCCCCAGTTAGGAGTATGTCATACATGCCCAGCTTATTATGTAAAACTAAAAATCTTTTCCTGAAAGAAAACCATCAATCATGATAATCTGCAGGGTTTGATCCAATATTCGCAGCTTTATTAGCTACAAACTCAATGGAAATTTTGGCAGAAGGAACTGGTTATAAGAAGAGACCAGTAATAATCTGGAAATACAGCAGACGACAAATATTTTTGAATTCAGAGAAACAATCAGTAGATTCTCACATAGAGAAAAACTGTGCGATCTCAGATATGGAGAGAGATTAGAATCTCCTTCATAAAGACAAGAGAGTAGATTCTGCATAAGACGATCTATTTCGGTCATGAAGATGTATAATAAGGTCTCAAATGTAGAGACGCGAAATAAAAAGAAGCTGTAGTTCAGCTACAAAATCCAGAAGTTGCAACTCTCGCTGAGTTAGGGAATGATGAAAGTTATATTAATTCATAAATAGAAATAGTTCTGGTTTTACTTGTCTCAATCTGGTTGATTAAGAATTTTGACTGAGTTGTTGAAATGTTTAATGGAATGACATCATGCTCTGATATTTCTCTGAATATCAATCATTTCTACTATATAATGTTTTGGTCATCATTCACTTCAGGATTGCTAATGAATGACTAATAGCATAGAAATATATTCTCAGATTTCTATGAGGAAACAAATGCAAAGAAAGTGCGTTATAAGAATGAGAACTCTGCAGTTCAGCCAATTAGAAGAGGAATGATTTTGCCTTTCCAGCCTCTTTCTCTGGCATTCAGTCATGTGAATTACTCCGTGGATATGCCTGCTGTAAGTTGATTTTAATAGGCATTATTCTAGTTCTGGAATTTCTTCGCTTCCATGTTTTCACCTTTATTTATCTCAATTAAACTACTATAGATGGTAAAATATTTCATTTCTTTTAACGGTGAACAATATGCAAATTTCTAGGGAATACCTGATTTCATTGAACCTGAAATAGGATTTTATTATTTATCTGCACAATGCTGGGTCTTTTTTTATTTTTCTTCTGGCCTCTTCTTTTTCTCTTACCTTTTTTTCTTTCTTTCTCAGAAACTTATTCAGGATCACCTTTTTGTTCAATATAGGACCTTACCTAATAAGAGAAAGAAACGACAAAGGCAATACATATTTGCACTATCATATGCATCGAGATCCATATTAATTGACATATTTAAATGTTATCTCTTGCTTGGAACAAAAGGGACCCTAGCCCTTTCTGTCTCTGGTGTCAAATGGCCTTTGCTTTTCCTAGTCAGAAACCAAGAATTATAATTTCCAAAAGCAAAAATGCAAGCAAAGTTGTGTTAGATGGTGTACAAACCGCTAAAGGAGATGACTTATGATTCATGGGTGATTATGTTGCCTATTTATATTGATAAGTTTTTATCATCTTGCTGCTAATCCCTGTACATCTGATTAGTGGTGGTTAGACTGTCACTGACTAACACATGATTATTGTCTTTTTACTCGAAGGATGTTGGACATAAAAGATTAGTTTCAATTTCCACTATAATGCACATTAAATCGCTTACGCTAGTCTTGCATTTGCTGTTCTTTTCTTATTATCCTGCCTGTGCAAGTGCAGCAATAAAATGATCCTCATGCTGAACCTATGGTTCTTCCTCTTTTCTTTTTAAAGGGAATGGTGAACCAAGGAATCAAGGGAAGTCGACTCAAACTGCTATGTGATGTTAGTGGTGCGTTTAGACCTGGCATCCTGACAGCATTGGTTGGTGTAAGTGGAGCGGGAAAGACTACACTGATGGATGTCTTGGCTGGAAGGAAAACCGGAGGTTATATTGAAGGAAGTATCAGCATTTCTGGGTATCCTAAAAGACAAGAGACATTTGCTCGAGTTAGTGGTTATTGTGAACAGAATGACATTCACTCACCACAAGTGACTGTATATGAATCTCTTACGTACTCATCTTGGCTGCGTCTTGCCCCGGAAATAGACTGCGAAACGAGGAAGGCATGCCACTTACTCCCTGGATTTTGCAATCGTTGGTTCAAAATTTGATAAACCAAGGATAACTGAAAATTTAATCATCATATGGTTCTTCTTGGTGTAAACTCGTATGGTTTGTTACCTTGCATGCAGCTCACCTACAAAAAGAAAATGGTCTCCTAAGTAATCAAAGATCACCAATCATTTGTTTTCCATCACAGATACAGACTATACTAGAAGCTCTTCATCTAAATAGTGGTGTTAGGGATTGCCTGGTACTGAGCTGACGTTTCCCAAATTTAGATATGAAGCCTTCTTATTTAACACCTGTTTTAAAGTATGCAAGTGATGTTTGCCTGTTCTAGTATAGGATCTTATTATATAACACTGTACTTTTGAGAGAAATGCTTGATGACAGTACCTATGTCAATGAATATGTCTGTATGTTCAGAAATTTTTATCTGTTTTGCACGATGCAGATGATAGTTGAGGAAGTTATGGAGTTGGTTGAGCTTAATCTGTACAGAGATGCTCTTGTGGGCTGTCCAGGCAAAGATGGTTTATCAACTGGACAGAGGAAGAGGCTTACAGTTGCTGTCGAGTTGGTTGCAAATCCTTCAATCATCTTCATGGACGAACCAACAACTGGTCTTGATGCTAGAGCTGCAGCAATTGTTATGCGTACCATTAGAAATACAGTGAATACAGGACGCACTGTTGTGTGCACAATCCACCAACCGAGCATCGACATTTTTGAATCCTTTGATGAGGTCCGTGTTTCCTTCTTCTCTTTGTAGAAATCTGATCCGCAAGAGCTTTGGTAATGATCAGCATTCTAAAGGAGGCTATTTTGCAGCTGATGTTAATGAAGAGGGGAGGGAAAGTCATGTATGCCGGAGATCTTGGTCACAACTCCCAAAAGCTTATAGATTATTTTGAAGTGAGTTTCTACAACACTGCACATACCCTTTTTATAGAAAAATTGTAAAGTTAGATGAATATCAACATTAAAGCAGTGTCTTTGTAGTAAAGTAACAAAGGGGCATGTATATTCTCGGTGTTTCATTAAAAAGGTAATGGAATGAGGAACAGATTTGTTTAGGAACAATATATAGACGTTACAAAATATGTGCCTCTATGGTCTCAATGCCAACTTGGACTTTATTTCTTGAACTTTGAAGTATCTACAGTTTTAGCATTTCTTTTTGTTGTCATGGTTCTGCATCTCCGGCAACGAATTTGAAGCAGATTTTTTAAAATTGTCATAACTGTGAGTCCAGGTTTCAGCCCATAAAAAGAGCGCTCAACTTGCAGGGGCAGCCCTCACCACCACTTCTTAGGGACTTTAAGACATTTAATGCTACAAAAAATATTTTAGCAAAGTGGTACAATGTCCAACTAAGACCTGTGACTGTTGAATGATCTCTCACAAGACAACCACAATTATTCTTTCTGAATGATCACTAGTGGACTCTCCTAAGAAGCCTTATCAACTTACTGATATAGTTATTTCTGTAGGCAATTCCAGGGGTTGCCAGAATCTCTGAAGGTTGTAATCCTGCTACGTGGATGCTGGACATAAGTTCTCCATCAGTTGAGGCTCGACTGGGTTTGGATTTTGCTGAACTTTATTCTAGTTCTTCTGTTTATCAGTAAGCAGTATATTACTATATATTTTGGCTGAACTTATTTTAGCTTTCTCTTTCATATTTGAGTTAAATTACTTTGTACAATCCAGGCAAAACCAACAACTGCTTGAGGACTTGAGCAGACCAGCCTCTGGTTCCAAAGATATTTACTTTCCTACCAAATATAACCAGAGCTTTATCACTCAATTCACAGCTTGTTTCTGGAAACAGCACTGGTCCTACTGGAGGAACCCCCGATATAACGTGATGCGCCTCTTCATAACACTTTCTTTTGGCCTTCTGTTTGGCTCCATCTATTGGAAGAAGGGTGAAAAGATGTGAGTTTGTGTTTTTTTTTTCGCTTTCCTTTTTTAACTTTTCTTGGTGTAGTGGTGCAATTTCTATGAGCTTATTAACAAAATAATTAGCACTGAACATGTGTTATGTAGTATCAGTCAATTATCACAACCATAATATTTTCTGCTGTTTTTTTTTCATATAAATATTGTTAGAGATGGTGAGAAGCACAATTAACTGATGCACATGATGAAATAAACACCGAGCAATTTGTTTTTCAATTATTCTGAAATTTGGTAGATTTTGTCATTTTGCCTGAAAAGTTCTTCAAAAGCATTACCTACAGAACAATGTATGGCTGATGCTGCCATTTTTTAAAAAGTTGCTTCAACATGCATATTGTGTAATTACTTTTATTTCTCTTCTTTTTGAGTATTCAAACACTCAGACATCACCATTTATGTACTTTAAAGTTAATCATGCAAATATTTGAATCTTTTTTTCAGTATTTATAATAGAAACTTTTACCAAATTAATTGTTAAATCATATCATGCATCTTCTCTGATGATGGATGCATTTTCTAAATAATCAACAGAAGCAAGGAGCAGGACCTATCAAACATACTGGGGGCCATATACGCTGCTACTTTCTTCCTCGCGGCAAGCAATGCTGTTACAGTCCAACCTGTAGTGGCAATTGAAAGGACGGTCTTCTATCGTGAAAGAGCGGCAGGGATGTATTCTTCTCTATCTTATGCATTTGCTCAAGTAATCTCTCTCTCTCTCTCTCTCTCTCTCAAGCCTATTGAACCTTAAACATGGTTAACTCGCCAAAGAAACAAGCCTGCTGTGTTGCATGCAGTAGTAGATTCCATGGAAGTACTTATGTTCTTCAAATGCCTGCAATAACTATATAACATTGGAAAATTTCCTACCCTCTTTTGTTGCAGGTGTGCATCGAGATTGTATATGTTGTTCCACAGAGTCTTATTTATGCAGTAATCCTTTTCACCATGATTGGCTTTGGTCCAGGGGTAGAAAAGTTCTTCTGGTTTTTCTACTTCATCTTCATGTGCTTTATGGTCTTCACATTATTTGGTATGATGGTAGTATCTATCACACAGAACCACCAGATTGCTGGAATTCTATCTGGCTTTTTCTTCAACTTGTGGAATATATTTACCGGTTTCGTTTTACCAAGACTGGTATGTGTTTCACCACTCAAATGATCTTCGAGCCTGACCCTTCTAGTTTATAAGTCTGAACATTGTTATATATGTATATCCTGCAGCAAATTCCAATATGGTGGAGGTGGTACTATTGGGCTACTCCATTGGCTTGGTCAACTTATGGCATTGTGGTATCCCAGTTGGGGGAAGATGATAATTTAATCATGGTACCAGGAGAACCCAGCATGTCGGTTAAGAATTATCTTCATGCGAAGTTAGGATATGAGCACAGCTTTCTCGGTTATGCAGCTGTTGCTCATGTTGGTTTTTCCTTGGTCTTCTTCCTTGTCTTTGCATTCGCCATCAAGTATCTCAACTTCCAGAATAGATAGATCAGTTACTAATCGTTGTATGTGAGAAATCAACCATATGGCGATCAAAATCTATTAGGTCCTTCTGCCGAATTTTCAGAGAACCAATCTATCGATCGAGCTTAATACGTTACGAGTAAACCACGCATCTCCTTGGTCTATCACAGGCTATTAAAAGGGCGTTTTAACTTGTACTGTAGTGTTTTTCTTTTTTGTGTCTGATGTGTCATATATATCACATGTACTTAATTTAAACAGAAAAGTACAGCCATAGACAAGCATAATCTGAGTGTATGGCTACAAAGCTTAACCTTCTTGTACCTTTCTGTAACTTAATATGAAGTAAAATCGAATTTTCAATCTGTTGGCATTTTTATTGGCAGTAATGTAAACTTTCTATTATGTAGATGGTCCCAGCGCTCTCCGATACATGGAATTCTTACAGAGCAAAATAGTCACCGCCACCACTGCCATCCTTCAATGCCTCATCTTCACTACAGCGGGCTAACAACAGAATCCTTCATGTTAGTGTGGTGCTCATGAACTAATATGAAACTTTCTTCGTAAAAGACGACCGTTGACGAGCGTTCGCCTTCAAATTCCTCAGGTCCTGTCATTTAGAGCCCAAGTACGAATTTATACATAATTTCACAGAAACTAGCTAACAAGCAAGGCTCAATATCCTCTGAAGAACACTTTTTTTAACATATGCAAATAAGCAGAATGATACTTTTTTGACATTTTACAGAACATTACACACATTGCACACGGTGGTCCAGGACCTAACTTCGAATTCATACAGAAACAACCAACCTCTATAGATCCTAAATCATTAAAAGCACTGCAAAACGAAGATATTTTTCACAGCCTAAGAACGCCAGGCAAACTTTAGGAACTATAAGCAGTTCAGGTACTAGCACTACTAGCTTCGGAAACTGATCCGTTAAGCTTTCGCAACACACTGGTCGGCGAAGTAGTGGAGGTAGATGAACGGAGCGCTTCCGCAAGGGGACCTCCCATCGAAGCCTCCCCATTATTATCCCACCCAGACCAATTAGCTAGAAGCGGCTTCTCACTGTTCAATCCCAGGCTGTCAGTGTTTCCAGTCGATAGTTTCAGCGAAAAATCAGACGACGAACTCTCAGGAACTGATATAGAGAGGTGGGTATCGGATGCAACAGAGCTCTCATTGTTATTATGATCCTGCTCTGACCTTGGCCAATCATCGAAGAATCTCATCAGAACTCGACCGTCCGTTGATTTACTATCTGGGGGCCTACAAAATGAGATCAACAGATCAATTTGATGAGAGCGTTACACTCTACACATCTAGTTTACAGAGGAGACAGGACTACCTCCGAGTAGGTGATGGGCCTGATAGAGTGAAATGGGCCTGTTTCTTTTCCTCTAGAACTGAAAGAGTTGCTGCTTTGAAACCACCACCGCCCTTAGATGTGGGGGCTTCCACATGCTTTCTTGAACGGTTGCGGCCCCTGTGCACGTGACGCTCGCAGTATTTCTGGCCTGCGACCACCTCCCTCGAGCACCGCCACTTCTTCCCGTCTGTTCTCCTGCACCTCCACGGCTCGGGATCGACCAGGGATCTCCCCCAGTATCCTGTCTGTAGCACTGGGAAGAAATGCAAAGGAAAACTCAGGATATTGATTGAAAGTTGAAACAGTGTGAAAACCAACCCTGGATATTGTTACCTCAAGTTGGCATCAACACTTTGATCATCTATTGTCGAGGGAACAATGCATTTTGAATACGGATTTAACTAAGGAAATATTATATCAGATGTTACTTTTGAAAGGGAAATTTTTAAAATAGCCCACTTTTGCTAAAAATTTAGCAAAATAGATCATTTTGCTAAAAATTTAGCAAAATAGACCTCTTTTTGGCCAGGCTCAGAAAATATACGGGAGTCCCGTATGTTCAGAACCAACTTATAATCAGCGCTTAGTGGACTCAGAAAACATACGGGACTAGTTACGGGACTACTAGTCCCGTACGTTTTGGTAATGAACTCAGAAAATATACGAGACTAGTAGTCCCGTATGTTTTCTGAGTACACTGAGCGCTGATTAAGTTGGCTCTAAACGTACAAGACTATTAGTCTCGTATGTTTTCTGAGCCTTGTTTTTCAAAATAGACCTCTTCTTGGCTTATTGACAAAAAAAAAATCTATTTTGCTAAATATTTAGCAAAGTGGTCTGTTTTGCTAAATATTTAGCAAAAGTGAGCTATTTTAAAAAATCCTCCCTTTTGAAATAGCTCTACCAAGATTATATAGGCAAGTAGGTAAAATCATGTCAAGTAGTTCTCATTCATTAGTCACATGTACCTGATTAGCCTCTTAGATATCTACTTTCAAGGAGTATATCTGAAGACCTTTGTCCTTGGATTCAAAAACATAAATCACCAAGTATTTTTTTATCGTATTTATTTGATTATTTATGAGGGTTCTTCCACTGATTCTTGAAATGAATGGCTTGGTCTGTATCTGGAAATCCTCGTTCTAGGATACAAAACAATACGGTCTTCTTGTTGAGTTCATTCTATAAATCTCTTAGGTGAAAAAAAAAACAGACTAAACAGAAAAACAAAGAGAAAGACTAAAGCTATGGAACAAGAAAATAACAGAAAGAACAACAAAAAGAAAGGAAAATGAAGCCAAAAAAAAGGGAACAGAACCAGAGTCTCACTTGATGGCTGAAAATGCTGATAATGGTAGTAAGGTGATGAACTAACAAGGCTCCTTTTCAAAGGAAGGATGAGGTCCAAAGGCACGGAAGCCCCAGCCAACATATACTTGTAAATCAAAGCTTGAAGCTCCAGCTCCTGCCATTGTGCCAAACTGAACAAACTCCCCATTCCTACATAACAAACCAAAAAAAAATATCCATACTAATAACATCAACCATCAAAAGTATCATCTTTTCCTTAAAATAAAAAAAACTTACTACAAGTGGTCCACTTGGTGTTGGGCTCAGGTGAGTGCAGTGTTTGGTCTTCTGCAGGGGGCTGCTGCTGGTTCCTCCATTGTGAGTGATCCATTATGGATAGACAGAGAGGGAGTTAAATGCTTCTTGTTTGTTTGTTTATAGAAGTGCGTTGCTGGGGTTTTTTTATATTTATAATGAACTTGCTAATGGGACAGGGAGCGAGGCTGTCTTCTTCTTTGCTCGCTGCTATTTATTTTCGCGGAAGGGCTTGGAGGAGCAGGGAGAGGAGAAGGAACTGTCTCTTCAGTTTTATTTGAGGGGGTGTTTGTGTGATTGTGATGCGTCTGTTTCCGCTTTCTTGGGTTGACAAAAGCTCCCTCCTGCCTCTACCGCCTATTAACTATTTTTTTTCTCTATTTTCTCTATGCGACATCGCTACTAGTGCTCTATATTTATCTCGGTTTGCAGTGGGAAAAGTGATGTTTGCACCTTGAGTTGCGTGTGATGGAGAGAGAGAGAGAGAGAGAGAGAGAAGCAGACATATCTATACATAGATAGAAGTAGGGATAGGCTTAGGTGTTAGAGAACTGAGACTTCGCTCCTGATATTTTCACTTTCATGCCCTAAATTATTTTAGCACTTCCACGCATCAGAGTTTTCAATTTGATTCGTGAGGTGTTTTCTGACACTTTTGACGCCTCAAAGTTTCAATTTGATATTAGCGTTGATACTCTTGCCTAGATTTAGATAGACATTGTGATAAATTTATATCATGCTGCTGTTTAACATGTGTGGTTTGATTGGATAGTTAGCAACTGAGCAAAATGGAATTAAATGCAATAAAAATTTAACAGCCTCAAACCAGCCTCAAACCAAAACAAATTTTCAAAACAGCCTCAAATCAGTTTTTAATTTTCAAAACCGACCCATTTTTTTAATACTAAAATCGACCCACTTTTTATCACGTAAGCTTAATCACATTTCCTAATTAGTCGGGGTTGCCAACCCCGACTATTTAGGACATAAAAAATAATGTTTAAGGTTTCTAATTGGGGTTTAACAACCTCCTTGTTGGGGAATTTCAGTCTCCCCGCCTACCACGATATGCGCAACTCGGAAGCCAACCCCAATCAATAAGATAGAACAACCACAATAAAAAAAACACCGAGATATACGTGGTTCGGTCGACCAACTTCGACCTACGTCCACGGGGCAACGATACGAGAAATTCACTATATATCAGGGAGAACTACAAAAGGAACCACTCAACTCTCGTCTCTCAATCTCTCAACCTCACATACATAATCAACTCTCATATTCTCTCCAAAGCCCACTTCTTGTAATCTTTTGTACGGATAAAGACTACGAAACCCCCTCTCTCTCTTATATACTACATCTCTACTTTTTCTTTTATGGTTTTTCCTCCACCAATAGAAGAATATATATAGGGAAACCAAAACTCTATCTCTAGCCTAACTTCCTAATTAGAATAGGATTCAAACTCCTAATCATGATAAAACTCAAACTCCTAATCATGATAGAACTCAAACTCCTAATCATGATAGAACCAAAAATCCTAATCATGATAGAACTCTAACCCTAACTAATTCTCATGAAGTTACACAAAGAATTCAAAGACAAAATCCCAACACTCCTAAACAGTCGGGGTTGCCAACCCTGACTGTTTAGGAATGGGATTAAGCTGACGTGACAAAAAGTGGGTCGATTTTGGTACAAAAAGAAAAATGGGTCGGTTTTGAAAAATAAAAACTGGTTTAAGGTTGTTTTAAAATTTTGTTTTTAAATGTAATATAAGTTTATCAGAAAATCTAACGAAGTCTAAGGGGCTGTTTGGATAGGTTTTTTTAGATGGTAAAAAAGGAGAAAGCTGCCAAAAATATCAGCTTTTTGACAGTTTTCCCTTAAAAGCACCTTTTTAAGGGGTGATTTTGGGGGAAAGTTGCCAAAAAACTGACATTTTTGATAGCTTTCCTCACTTTTACCACAAAAAAAAAAGGAACCAAACAGCCCCTAAGCAGTTTTGGTTGTCCAATGTTAAGGAAACACTTGAACATCTTATGGGAAAAGAACAGAAAGCACTTTATCACTCTATCCTTCGATTTGCCTAGTGAATCAGGAGAACGCCATGGGATCTTGGTAACAAATATAGCGGGCTAGAAAGATTTGTAGCAAAACAATTTTTATGAGGGGTTTCCTGCAATTATGTCGCCGTAACCAGTTTGCAAATTACTCTGCTAAGGGGTTTTCTGCAATTTGTTCATGTAATAACGACAAGAGAGAGAATAACGAGAAAGGAAGACGCTCGTCTTTTTGATCCGGGAGCTGGTTCTTAACATTTTAACCGCGGGCTCTGCCTTTAAGAGAAAGAAACTTTGAGATTAGTGAATGTCATTAGGCTATTTTTTTCAGGTTTAGGCATGTTATGGCGTGGGTACTATGTTCTTTTTATTTTTTTTATAAAACACTTTGTGGTTCCAAAAGCAGTCAAAACTAACTCTGGTATCAAGGGAAGTCCTCGGTTAATGCGGGTAATTTATTTGCTAGGCACTGTTCCCTAATTATTAATTTATCGTTCATAGGATAGCTTAGGCCTGGTTTAAGTCGGATACGGGAGAGTGCTAGAGCGAACAGAACAGTAAACGGCAGCTTGTATGGCTTAAATAAGAAAAGAAAAGGTTTTAGAAATGAAGTCTTTTTTAGCTTCTTTTAAAATACTTTGCCAAGGGGCAAAAGAGAAATTTGCCTTTGATTGGAAAAATTTATAGGTGCTCGTTAAGTATCAAGTTGGCATACAACATAGCAATAGGAGTGGGTCATGTTCATGTGGCACAAATCTCAGTCAAATGCTTGAGCACCTAAAAATTTATCCTTTGATGGGGAGTTTGGGGTGGGGCTAAAAATTTATCCTTTGACAGGGCACGAGTTCGGGAAAATCTTTCTATAGTCAATATTACCCTTCACTATTTTAAATATTTTATTTATATCTTAATCTATCTTAATCATAATTATATCTTATCATAATCCTACGTGAACTATCTATAGCTTAACAATTTAAAAAATTATATTAATAAAATATGTAAAACATATTTTTATGGTATTAGTTTGTCAAAATAAAAAAATTATATGTAATCATAATTATATCCTATCCTAATCCTACGTGAACTATCTATAGCTTAACAGTTTAAAAAATTATATTAATAAAATATTTAAAATAACATTTTATGGTATTAGTTTGTAAAAATAAAGAAATTATACGTAGCTAACGTACTATAATACATAAAGTATTGCAAAAAAATCTAAAACTTTTAAAATTACACAAAATACCCTAAAAAGTTTAAAATTATAAAAACTATTCCGACGTCTAAAAACTTAAAACAACAAAAATAAAATTAAGAAATTAATAGTGAAGAATTTAAAATTTACGGATAACATCTCATTATCTCAAAAATTATAGAAACACCATAAAAAATTTAAATTACAAAAAAGCACCTGAAATTCTAAAATTTCAAGACTTACAAACAACATAGATGATTTCAAGGGATTACTATAATGCACCTGAAAATATCTGATATTTCAAAGCTTAAAATAATAAACATAAAATTAAAAAATTAGCAGCAGCTTCTAAAGAATTTAAAATTTTCAATTAACACCCTCAATATCCTAAAAATTATAAAAACTCCCTCAAAAGTTTAAATTATAAAAAAATAACCCTAAAATTATACAAATTTTAAAATTTGCAAACAACAAAAAAAAAATTCAAGAGATTACCCTCATGCACCTAAAAATTTAAAATTTATCGAAATTAATCTCAAAGTTACAAAAGTTGTAAAAAAACGCTTTCAAATTTTAAAAATTATAAGAAAAACTCAAAAATTTTAAAATTTATAACCAGTACACATCAAATCTAAAAATTATTGATAGACCGCTAAAATTTGAATTTTTAAAAACTTAATCTATAGTTTTAACAATTACAAAAAACAACCTCAAAATTTTAGAGTTGTAAGAAATATCATGACATTTAAAAATTACTAGCGATACATGAAACATAGAAGTTACAACTATCAAACTTAAAAGTAATTTTTTTAAAATACTCCCAATGTTTTAAAAATTACAAATCACACCCTTAAAGTTCCAAACCATAAAAAATGGCTAAAATTTTAAAACTTGGCAAAAAAAGTGTAATTTAGAATTGGTTAAAAATATTCGGTTAAGAAATAAAATTTTAAAAAATATTATAGCTTAAAAATTATCGTCACCATATAAATTAAAGCAACTGCATAGAATTTTACTAATAAGTTGGAGTAGAAAAACATATTAGTAATATTAATTGATAGATGTTTAAATCCATAAAAATGATAAAAGACTATAATATAATAGCTTAGCATTCAAAAAATACAATGAGTTACCTATGAAGAAACTATCAAAATGTTACGAGATATCATTCAAAAGAATCAAACTATTTTTATTGAAAATGGGAAAGTGACACAAATAAATCTAAAATTTGGAAAACGTCCATGAATCATTTGAATTTTCATTAACATAAGGCATGTCTATTAAAGAAGCACCAACTGAGTTACATTGAAGAATAATTTAATAAAACTTTATCCCAATCAAATATAGAAGATGTAAGAAAAATTAGTAAACATTCATAAATTTCATACTTTGTTCTTAAAATACTAAAGAAATTAAATAATAATATTATAATCTAAGGTAAATTAGTAATAAAAAATATAGGTATTTAGTTTATTTGGGAATCCAAGACCCTGCAGCATATCCCTCAAAAAACTCCAACTGATAGTATCAAAAGTATTATGACCTGTATTTCTTCACCATCTTATTGTATTTCACTCAATGGCTCTCTTCATGGGTATTTTAGAGGAAAAAGAGGTCTTAGACAGGGGGATCCCCTATCTCCATATCTGTTTATTCTGGGTATGGAATACCTCTCAAGAAGTTTGGATTTACTGAAATATGACAGACAATTTAATTTCCACCCATTATGTAGAAAGCTCAAGATAACTCATGTTATATTTGCTGATGATTTGCTATTGTTTAGCAAGGGTGATCTGATTTCAGTATAAAAACTGCAACAATGCTTACAGGAGTTCAGTTCTGCTACTGGCCTCTGTGCAAATCCAGACAAATGCCAGGTTTTCTTTGGTGGAGTAAATGAAGATACTAAAGATTCTATAAATGCTTACTTGGGATTTACTGTGGGTACTTTGCCAATCAGATATTTAGGGTTGCCACTTGTTTGCAAAAGACTCTCATACCTAGACTGCAATCCTCTGCTCAGTAAAATCAGTAGCCAATTTCAAACCTGGAACAAGGCAAAAAACCTCTCTTATGCAGGGAAAATACAGGTCATTAAAAGTGTTATCTTAGGAGTTCAGATATATTGGACATCTTGCTATATCCTACCTGTTGGTGTGCTACAGAAAATAGATGATATGTGCAGAAATTTCCTATGGGGTAGAGAAGGTCATATTCATAAGCCTTCTTTAGTAGCTTGGGAAAAAATTTGCCGTGGAAAAAAATCAGGTGGCTTAGGCATTTTCTCTGCTCGATTATGGAACTTTGCCTCAGCTTTAAAAATCATTTGGGATATTCATATGAATAAGGAAATTCTCTGGATAAAGTGGATACATGGCAAATACTTGAAGAACAGAGATATATGGCATGTTAACTCTAAACCTGGAGATTCATGGCTTTGGAGACAATTGTTAAAATCCAGAGACAGAGCTTTGGTCTTAGCTGGTGGAATTGATAATTTGAATCAAATTATGGTTTCTTGTTACAAAAATTCAAAGGTTAAAATTTCTGCTATATATCAAGCTTTTGTTCCTCACACCCCTCCAGTTCCATGGTATAATACAGTATGGGAGAGGATGAACTACCCCAAGCACTCGATCATTGGCTGGCTTACTGTTCAGAATAGACTTCTGACACAAGATAGGTTAATGAAGATGGGTGTCATACAATCAAACAGTTGATGTTTGTGTTCTGGTGCAGGTCCTGAGAATAGAGATCACTTATTTTTTGACTGTGAGTTTTCTCAGAATATATGGAATAGGATTATGAATTGGCTAAATTTCAGATGGAGGTCTTGTAGTTGGAGCTATCTATTGAACTGGTATAACAACTGTCTAAGAGGCAAGGGATTTAAGAAGGGAATCAAAAGAATGGCTTTTTCGGCAACTTTGTACAAAATTTGGGGTGAGAGGAATAACAGAATTTTCTTACTGAAATCCAAGGGGATTGAGCAGCTGGTAAAAGAGATAAAGGTGGACATTTTGATCATTGCTCTCAATGGTTCTACAAAACCTGAAGATAGAGAATGTATTATCTCACTGTAGTTTTTTGTATCTTTGAGGGATATTAGCCCTAATGAGCTGTATCTAGTTTTTCTCTCTTTTTGTGAGAATCAGGTTGTATATAACTTTCATATTTGGTTTGAATGAATAAAAATTTTCATTGACCAAAAAAAGAAACTCTTGTTAGATGCACATCAGAAGAATTTATTGTAGAAAAAAAAGAGGTAGCTCTTACATTTATTTAAGTAATAAATTAGGAATAAAAAGAATTTTATATATATGAAATTAATATTTATTCTCATTGAAATAAAAAAAATCAAAGTCTGTATTTCAAGAAGTTTGTGTTGAATATCAGAAATACATTTAATTTTTTTGTGTAGTTAAACAATAAGATAAAAGACTAACGAGCCCAAGAACGATAACAACACAAAAGTATAACTCTAGCCCGATGTCACAATCGAGTAGATGATGAAGATACTACTATAGAATTGCCCGGGAAAGAGATAAAGGTGAGGAAGTATTGATATTAGCTCAGTAAAAAAAACTGAAGGAGTAAAAGATAATATTTTGTGAATATTTTATAGAATAGTTTAATTATTTTATGTGAATTTAGAAATCTTTAGAATGGAGCTTTTTTAGTAGATTTATATGCTTGTGCAGATGCATTTTTCATATGAAAGTATACTAGAGTTAGCATTAATCTTTAATTTATAATTTTTTATGAAGGCTATCAATGATTAGGACCAAAATTTATATTCTCTTTTGTATATTTTAGCATACTTTTAAGCAATTATTTTGCCTTATTGGTTTTAAATATTCACCTTCTTTGCATAACACGATTTTAATATTTTTTTTACTTTTGCAACATTGTACTTTCTCAAGTAAAGATTGGTTTCATGTCAATCAAAATAATATAAAAATTTAAATTAGCTTCAAATTATATTTGATTTCTATCAATTTTAATATTAACATGAAAGTTTAAATTGGGTGTAGCCCATTTAAACAAACATTAAAAAAATAACTAATCGCAATATTAAAGTTTAGAGACAAAAGTGAGCATAAACTATTAAAGTGAATCTGAGGAACAAATTTTAGTTATAAGATAAGCTAAAAATACTTAATCATAATATTTAACCACATGCATTGCACATGTATAAAACTAGTAAACCATAAAAGTATCGCTTCTTCTCTCCTCCCATCCAAACAAAAAGGGAAGTGACGTCCATCACTCTATCTTATTGTAGAAACGGCGAAAACATTAGAGAAGATCATGAAAAATGGAGCTGGCAGACATTCGGGTGCTCTCCGGTCGACCGCGAGCTTTGGCACGGTCGACCAGCAACGTGCACGACTTAGTACACTTTCTGGATTTTTGGCCGGTCAACCGCGACGATTTTGGCGATCGGCCGCCAAACACTGTAATTGAATTTTGGGTTATGTCGTTCTGTCTGGTCGACCGTGGCGTCAAGTGCGGTCGACCACGATTCGGGTTTGGGTCTAATTGCGGTTTCCTATTCTGTTTGGGATTGCTGCTTGATATAAAATCAAACACACGTTTTAGGATTTCTTTGGTGCAATCAAGGGGATTGTTTTGGGGTTATTGAAGCACAGAAAAGAGAGATCTTTCTGAGTTGTTGGTTAGGGTTATTGTTAGAGAGATTGAGAGTTTTGTTTGTGAGGTTAGTTGGTTTGTTTTGAATGATTTGTAATCTCAGTTTGTACTCTCCTTCTCTATTAGTGAAAACCTATCCCCTTCTTGCCCCGTGGACGTAGGCAACTTGCCGAACCACGTAAAATTGATTGATTGTGTTTGTGTTGTTATTTTGCATTGTTTGGTTTTCTCTCTCGGCGTTTGTGTTTGGTTCCTCGAAGTATAACAATTGGCTTCCGCGCACGACACTTGTTGCACCTCCAGTCACCTCATCTTCCATTTTCAAAACCTCTACTGTGTCAGGCATCCGCCCTCATCACTTTTCAGAGGATATTTTCCCCTCCTCCCTCTCTATAGAATGAATGAGTTGGGTGACTTTGAGTCTCTTATTGTCTTTCCGGAATAAGAAAATATATTTTTCAATATGAAAGACACAGATAATGCTAATTATATATATATTTTTCGGATACTAACAATGTACAAGATTGCTGAAAGGGTAATCGATAGATAATGCTAATTATATTCTTGGATACTGACGCAGCGCGGAAGTTGTAACCTCGGAATCCATCAAGGGTGTTCTCTGAATCCCTTCGAATCCACGAAGAACTTCGAATCCACGAAGAAAATATTGAAAAGAGAAATTTTATTGATGAAAAATTATATCTCTAGGGCTTACAAGACTCTTCTTAAATAGAAAAAAAGAAACAAAACTCCTACAAGGACTCTAATTCCTACAAGGACTCAAACTTTACCAAAAATAGTAAAAAAATTCCTAAAATAGTAAAACTCCTAAAAAAACTCCTTATGATTAGGAAAGTCCATCGGTCAAATCTGATATCAAACTGGATTTGTTTCCTAAACAAAACAGACTCCTAAAATATTATTTAAAATAGTAAAAAACGGACAAAAATGTAAATGTCTCTTAAATCGTAAGGAATTTGGCGAAACGAAAAATGCAAACCGAACCCAAGAGGGTCGGTTTGGATGGCTCCGTCTCGTCGAGATAGTCGATTTTCATATATAATTCGTCCAATTCCGACGTACGGTTTGAAAGTTACGGCCGTTTCTTCGAAACAAGTTATTTTCTTCGACCAGGCCCGCATTTGGGCTTGCGACTGTCTCACTTTGACATAAACGTGTCTGCTGTATATTCTACATCAGATACTAACATTGTACAATATTGCTCAAAGGGTAATTATCGTTTACCCATGGAAAACATATGGATATGAAGTCTTGAAATGATTTGAAACTCGTTGCGCCGAGTCTCGAGACCCCGCCGTTATGAACATTAAGCTATCATTTCAAATGCGTTCCAAGAGTCCCCCATTATAACGATTCGATCGATGAGTTAGTCATGTAGCTAGCTTCCAGCTGCTCCGATACAGTAAACTTGCAAGTGTACCTTTGGTTTCTTGTACCACCACCATGCATCTTCGTTAAATTAGTACGTACGGGAACTATGTTGATCTACAAGCATGGAAATGGCTACTCCTCAAATAGAAGTTTAATTTCTTATTTTATTTTTTACCCGAAAACATAATTTAAAAGAGTCCTGTTGATAAACAAGAGCGGATCTTGTCAAGTGAGAGGGGTAAGTAGGGAGAAGGATGTTGACGGTACGTGGAAGGTAGTAATAAGTGATTAGAGCCGTACAAGGGCGCTGGAAGCTCTACGCAAAATTTTATAGTTAATGCGAAATTGGGTTTTTTTTTTTAGAGAAAGGATGGGATACTATAAAGATATCCCAGCCAGCTAAATAACAAAATGGTTGTTACATAATATGTACATATCCCCAACCTAGGATATGTATCTATGTTCAAAGTTAACTACATATCACTGAACCAGATTTCCCAATCTCTAACCACAAATTAGGGACTAAACCAAATCTAACTGCCAAAACACATAAAGACTGAACATAAGCTACAGAAAGTTTTGCTATCCAAAAACAATTATCCCAAAAAGATTTGTAAAAAAAGATCATTCCAGCTGAATAATCCCCCCAGAGCTTCTATCTTCAACTCCAGCAGTGGCCTTAACTCCCGCATCAAGCGCCATCTTCTTCTTCCTCCTTCGAGCTTCTATCTTCAACTCCAGCAGTGGCCTTAACTCCCGCATCAAGCGCCATCTTCTTCTTCCTCCTTTCTTGCAGTCTTGTGGTTCTGGCAGATTCCTTTTTCATACCTAGCCATAGATTTGAGAAAGTTATGACTTTGTGTAGAATCATGATGTAATTCCTCCTCTTATTAGAAAACAATCTATCATTCCGTTCTTGTCAAATACACCAAATAAGACAGCAGATAGAGATATCTCTTTTCAATCTAGGTCCCCAAGAGAGCTACTATTCCATTTCAGCCACAGATTCTTCAAGGACCCAAACCTGAAGTCCTCTTCAATTTGTAAATTGGTCTGAATCAATTTCCATACAGATTGAACAAACTCACAGTTAATAAAAACATGAGAGTGATTTTCAATCTCCTTAGAACAAAGACAACAGATTTTGTCTAAAAAAATTCCCTTTTTTCCAATTATCTTTTGTGTTCAAACTTTGTCTAAAAGCCAGCCAAACTAAAAATTTGACTTTTAGAGGAATAGGGAGCTCCCATATCCTTGCACAATCATATCTTAGACCCCCCATCAATAAGGAAATGATAATAAGATCTTACTGAGAAAGTTTTTTATTTTCCCATAAACATTTTCTCTTATCTTCCTCATCTGATAACCTTTTCATATTAAGCATATCCATCAAAGTAAAAAACTGAAGAACCAAATCCCCAGTCAATTGTCTTTTGAAATGAAGAACCCATCTCCATATATTATCTTCTTTAATTCTCAGACTACAAACAGTAGCATAAGGAGATGAAGAGAGTTTAAACAAAGATGGAAAAAGAGAAGCAAGAGAAGATGAGTCTAACCATTTATCAAGCCAAAAAAGGGTAAATTTTCCATTTCCAACTTCCACTTGAGTACTGCAAAGAAAGCTGTCAACATTAGTCCAGACACCTTTCCAAAACCAAGTTAAATGAGTTTTACCCAAATGAAGATATCCAGACCATGCTTTTCTTTCAAAAAAATTTATGGTGGCTGATTTGTTTCCAGAGCTCATTATTGCCATTAAACCATTTCCAAAGCCACTTTCCTAAAAGAGCTTTATTCATCACTTTTAAAATTTTAATCCCCAAACCACCATAATGTTTTGGTCTACAAATCTCTTCCCATTTAACCAGATTAGTGCATCCTTTATGCTCCAAAGCCACCATAATGTTTTGGTCTACAAATCTCTTCCCATTTAACCAGATTAGTGCATCCTTTATGCTCCAAAGATCCAGTCCATAAAAATCTTCTCAATCTCTTCCCATTTAACCAGATTAGTGCATCCTTTATGCTCCAAAGA